TATTTGTTTTGTCAAGTGTACAAAAAGTGCAAGTAATCACATTCACAGGTGCAACGCGCAGGCAAGCTGGACTCTGTGCTGTCACAATCCTGCCCACTTTCAACTCCTGCCAGCATTGGAAGAAGTATACACAGAGCTTCCAAAATGTTTTCCCCACTAAGGCTGCTGTTTATTACCTCCACCAAGGAGGTCATGTTTTAGGTTATGAACATTCAGGGGAGTTTTTGTCCCCTTCTCAGAGATGACATTATTCTTCTTAAGGCCACAAACTAGTCATCACGGACCCAACAGAGCTTGTGTTGATGCATCAATAATCAAAATAATCATCCTGTGTGACATCAGCAAGTCTAGAAGTCTAAAGGATCAACCCCTCAAGTGTGTTTTGCTTTTTCTTTGCCTTTTTTTGCGATGTGACAGATTGATAACCAGGCCCAACATTTTGCCAATGCCACTTTGTGGCTTTTTGTTCAGCTTTGGCGTTTTGTCACATTCCACGTGCCATTTTAGCTGATACAAATTATTTCCAAACTGCTTACATGGCCGGATGCTTTGTCAATTAAAATAATCACAATATAAACATATTATATCACAATAATAAAATCAAAGGTTGTTCTGTAGTGGCGATTCAGACATGTGGGTCAAACAGCCAAGCCTTGAACTTACCACTAAGTCCCAGTTATTAAGCTCTAACAAGGCGATTGCCTCTGCAATGTTGTCGATTCCAGTGCAAGCCTATGAATAGGGGGGAAAAATACAATGAGTGGCACTGTACACGGGTTAAGATATAGCCTCCATTTTTAAAAAAATGTGTTATTTAAAAAAAAAAAGAATAAAATACTGTTTGAAAATTATATCTAGAATTCAACAGCAGAGAGGTGCGAATAACCATGTTGTGCATATGACGCTTTGAACCTTTTCGAAGTGCAGTTTGATACATTCTTACTGCACCATATTGTATTTGACACGTTATGACACATGTGGCAAACCCAGGCTCCCTTCAAAGTGCATCACGAACTAATCTTCATCGTGATGTACGATGAGTGACGGGGAGGTAAACATGTCAACAGTTCACTGCTATATGAGGACCAAGCTAACTCCACTTTCGGACAAATGAAAATTATTTCCCCAGCTAACAGGCAAAAAGCCACATTAAAGCCACTTGGTTGGAGTGTTTAGGCGACCACATTTCGCTGGAGTGTTGTTGACGAGGGACAACGAGAGCTTCATGCTAATAACAGCATTCAGTTAGCAAGCTGTCAGTTGGTTAGCTCGGTGTGTTAGCCGCAGAAAGCAAAGACTCCCAGCCAGGGAGATCCGTCTAAGAAGCCGCTTGGGTGGAGGCACCGCACCGTGACACAAACACACTCCGACAAGCGTCGTTTGGGTCGACAGACCTGAAAGTCCGCCAGAATCATCTCCCTGTCCAGGTTGCTGTCGCCGCTGTCGGAGGCCATGGCGATGACTGGCTAAAAGCAAGGCTTCTTCCACGGACTCTCGTCGCTTCCCCGCAGCGCAGGAGGGTACTGAATGTGAATAAAATACTCGACTTAGACGTAATGACCCTTCTGGAGGCGTGTGAAACAAAAAGGATGATCTTAACTGGGATGGAACTGCTTCAGGTAGTCATTCTACAAAGTAGCGTTAGAATTCGACGCTTTACGGCAGCTGACGTAAAGGAATGACAAATGCTGCAACGTAGCCGAGGATACGTGAGACTGGACAGTTGTAAAGAGAGCCTGACTCACGGTTCGCTAAACGATTCGATTTTTAAAAATAAATTCACTAATATAATAAATATAAGTTCAACGAGCAATATATTTATTAGAATAATTTAATATATGTATTACAATATTACATTTATAATTCATATCGGTAGCTCCCAAACTTTTTACACCAAGAACCACCTAAAAAACCACAACCATTCTGACCAATATGAAATTACATAAGCATATTGGGCTGAAATGTTCATCAAAAAACAAGGCCGATGTTGTATAAAAATTATATTTAATATTATTGTAATGCACTGTAACATTATGCACACTTGGACAGTTTGCACATGAACAGTGCACTTTAAAAGTGATGTCAAGTTTAAAAAAATGCTTTCAATATGTTCTATGGAGCACCATTAGTCTAAACAGAACTAAACATGGTATTCTGATTAATATTGCGCATTGGTAGAATAAGAATTCATCACATTAACCCACACCGGTTTCACCCAAGAAAGGGGGCAACCATTTTGACATGTTTCTGCCACACACTGTTGAGGGAAATCGACATCAAAGGGCCGTTGACCCGCATTTCAAATGTCACACGACCAAACCCAGAAAACAGGTGAACCAATGCCTCGATGAAATAAAGTTAAAAGTTAAATACAGCTTAAGTGTCCTCAAAACATGCACTGTACTAGATCCCAAAAAAGCCATTCTAACATTCTGCATAGTTGGAACTTTTCATTCAGTGATTCTTTCACGTACCACTAGAGGGAGCCGGCGTACTACACTATGCGAACCACTGATACTGTATTAAAATATTGTACTGTAAAGAGATATGTCTGAAGGTGGTACGATGATTGAGTGGTTATCACATCCGCCTCACATTACCACACTGTGAGGATCACTAGCATGTATTATGTGTAATAATTCATATTGTTAAATGAATTTATCTCTGGCATTTGGATCTCCGATTATACCTAATATTGTGGCTGGTGAGTGTATCTTGTAACTTTTGCCCATGATTCGAGGCTATAATTTCGAGCTCTATCAGCAGCAACAATGCGTTGGGATATGATTATAAATCAGTGGGGAGAAATACAATACAATACAATACATGCTGATTTATATAAATGACATTAATAATGCTGCCACTCAACACCAGAATGACAACATATCCTGGGACATGATGCATTGAAGTGCTGTGGTAAGTTGTTCTGAATGTACCATGTGACCAAAAGGCTCTGTAGCTTGATTTTCGAAACCTCAGCACATATGACGGGTTGAGACCTTAAATCGAAGTCCACATCAAGTTTTTTTAACAAATCTTTCATATTATAGGAAAATCATTGCTTGTAGTCAAATGGTTTGGGTTGCCTGGCCACTCGTCAATTGAGAAATTAAAGAACCAAGTAAATCCCTCAATTTCGGAAATGTATCTGTGAGCAAGCTGTATTCTACTTCGCCCCACTTTAATGTAACAGTGGGCCTGTTATTGTCACATAAGTACACTCACACCTGGATTCTCGGTCAATGACGTGGAAGCTTGGCTGACTGAAGTTCCAGAGAGAAAGAGTCACTTTCAAGCTGCTTCGTCTGATCCGCAGCACTTACTTGATTGCTCAGTGAAGTTGTTGACGCGTATGAGTTGGCAGGAAGGTACAGTATGTGATTGTGTTCCATGCACCACAGAGAGCAGAGTGGATGAACTGGTGCCTCCACAAGTCAAAATGATCCATTCACTTTTCCCTTCTCACTCTGGGCTCTGCTTCTGCAGAACTTTTGGCCAATTTGCATACCTGCTGCTGAGGACAACACCTTTAGTGGACATTTTTAAACAGCAATTAAACATATATTTAATTAACAGGTATTCTGGTCTGACTAAATTGTTTTGACTTGTTTATTTTTTGTTTGTTTGATTAGTGTTTTTGTATTAACTGTATAAAAAATGACTTTTATAACCATGTGAAGCACTTTGTGAGTCCTCCTCATGAAAAGTGCTACCATATGTGCACGGGTGGACTTTGCATTAGGCAAACACAGGCAATTGCCTGTGGCCCAGAGATATCCAGGGGCTCCGAATTTTTTTTAAGTTATCTTTGATCTAAAACAATCCCTATTATCTTCAGTTTAAAATTACATGCTGAAAAACACATAAAATGCGTCATCCATCATGATCATGTTGAGCACTTCCCCTCCCTTGTCGTGTAATGGACTATTCAACCGTCTTCCTGCATGTGCACAAACTTGATTGAGAAAGAGGATACAGTACCAAAACAAACTCATTGGTGCGTTGCCAGAAAAACAAAGTCGATTTTGCTTTACTGTTGTATATGTTAGTTGCTCCATGTACAGCACTTTGTGTGCAGCGATGGCTGTTTGAAAGTGCTCTATAAATACATTTGAGTTGAGTTGAGATTTTCCCACAAAGATGTAGGTATTAACCCTTTCATGCATGAATTATGATAATCACATCACGATTTTATTGGACTGTTTTCACTAAAAAAGAGTTACGTCACGTTTATGGCGGAAAATTATTGACATTTTGTAGACTTTTTATATCTACTGAAAGTCAGTACTAACCAATACCAGTAGAGGGAGTGAGACTACAAGGAAAAAAAAAACAAGCGACTGCGCCACACTGTCACTTGCAGAAGAGAAATGACAAAATGTCTCTTTTAGAGGAAGCTAACCGCCTCTTTGTCCTTACAGATTTCATCCAATCATGACTTGTCTTTTTTTTAGGAGGAGGGGAGTCATGCACAACTGCTGTATACGTTAATAAGGATACAGTGTTATGCAAAGGTGTACTTATAACAATTTTATAGACAAATGATACTATTTATAGTAGTGCGGGGGCGCAAGATGTTTTCCTCTTCCTGGGGGGGGGGGGGGCATGACAGAAAATAATTGGAGAACCACTGCAGTAGAGGGAGGGATACTGCAAGGAAAAAAAAGCGACGGCACCACATTGCCACTTGCAGAGGGGGAAATGATTAAATATGAAGGGAAAAAGGGGAGTGTCTCCTTGATCGTACGGGTGTGCGTGTTATGTGTGTGTGTGTGTGTGTGTGAGTGTGTGTGTGTGTGTGTGTGTGTTGGGGCGTAATTGTTTAAATTGTCTTAAATTAAATCGAACAAATGGGGAAGTGTCCTATTTGTTTCTCCTGCATGCAATATCGCCCCTTGTCTCTTTTAGAGGAAGCTACCCGCCTCCTTGTCCTTACAGATTTCATCCAATCAGGACTTGTCTTTTTTTTCTTCTTTTTTTTTTTTTTTTTTTTTAGGACTGGAGGCACGCGCAACTGACACACATCCTCCATCGTATTCTCGTAAAATCAACCTTTTTCTCAACCATACAAGTGATTGTAGGAGGTCTTTATTTGGGTGTACGCCGTCGAATCGAGTGTGGTTTATGTGGTCCGTATCGGAGGCAGCACATTTGAAAATGAGCGGGAAATAACCGTGAGTGTCGTCATTTTTGATTTGCCTCGCATCTGTTCAGAGCGCCCGCTGCAGCCGTTAATTCATCTACTACTGTATTAGGCTCCCTTTTCATGTCTGTTGGCATACATTCTCCTTATTTTAATTTTGTATTCTTGTCTTTTCTTTGCCATTGTTGTCATACCGGCGCCCGCCTCACAGATGCATTATTGTTATTCTTATTCTATTTATTATAAATGATATTGTTAATAATAAGAACAACCATAACAAAGGACACTTTAATTATTTATTTATTCTTTTTTGGGGGGCACTTGACACTTTTTTATCCCCAGTCGGAATTATTTATTTATTTATTATTAGAAATGGTAACGTCATTAACATTGTTTATTGTTAAAATGTTCATTCGTGTTTGTTATATTTGTGTATTTTAATCCTGTATATAGTCGATATTACATGTATGTCTATTGTAGTATTTCAATAACATCTGAAAGTGTATTTATATGAAGTCACTCTACGCAAAAATAGACAGCTTGTTGCATACTATTACCATATCAATTAAAACATCGTGATGACTTGTTGGTAGTGCGCTAATATAGACTGCTGCCCATGTAAACACAAAACACCCTGAATTAATGTTTAATACAGTAGAAATGTACGATCGTGAACTTAATAATGTCTACAAAAATGCATATAATATTAAACAATTTTTATTTCATCTTATATAATTATCTTGTTAAATAATGTATCGATGCATCAATTATCTGATCCGCTTATCCCCACTCGGGTCGCGAGCGTGTTGGAATGGATCCCAGATGTCTTTAGTGAAAGGCGGGTACACCCTGAACTAGTCGCCAGCCAATCGTGATGATCTATACATGTATTAGTTGTATTAAATTATGTTAAATATAGTATATTTTAAATAAAATACATAAATATGAACAAATATTATGGCTATACTTATTCGATTCTGTTTATTAGACATGAAATGAGATATAACCTTCGCATTACAACAAAACATTTGACACGATGTTATGCACTCCTTATAAGGATTCATTCACTTCAGGTTAGACATCCAATTTCTATGAATCTGTTCAACAAACATGGAAAGCCAATTGAAGCATATCATGTCTCATGCGATAGGCCTCATGGGGAGGAGTCTTCCCCCTCCCCCACCCCTTTCCCTCTCTCTCGCTCTCTCTGTCTTTTCCGTCTGATCATTTCACAGAACATATACCCCAGTTCATGACAGCTCGATTTTGGCCTCCTGTAATCTGCCTTTTTTCACCCCCAAGAATGGCTGTCACTTTGTCACTAGCCGATCGCCTGAGCAGTGCCTCTGCCAATGGAAATTTACCAGAGGTTTTATTGTTGCTGCAAAGTGGAGCTTCTGTCAATGGAAGGAATATTTTCAAAAGGACTGCATTACAGGTTGGTTTGTCCTTTGTTCCCCCTCATCACTTCCAATAGGTTTGGATATTTTACTTATAAAGCTGTGTTCTTGGACCTCCCTAACTTGTAAAGTTATACAATAGATTTTTTGATCATTTTTCATCAGGAAATAATCCAAAAAGGAGAAGTAATGGGTGAAAAAAAAGCAGCACAGTCGAGGCCCCATGCTCCACAATGGACCAGGCTAATGTGACATAATTAGATTCATATTGCTAAGTATAATGTATAAATTATAATGTATGAAGTATAATGTTTCATATCACATTATTTTCAGCAAATAATTTAACTTAAAAAAATGTTTTTTTTAATTTATTTTTTTATATAGTCCAATCCCTACTGAATATTCACCCTTTGACTTGAGCGACAGTATAAAGGTGCTTTCAGCAAAGGCTTTCAGTTGAGCATTATTTTCCATAAACTAAGTGAAACACAACCTTGATGGTGAAGTGTCAGTTAAAAGCAAAAAAGACAGGAAACCAAAATGGAGGGCTTGAATGAAAATGGTGGCATAAAGTCTTGCGCAATAAAACCCTCTATTCTGCCTGCTTGGATTTTTATTTAATTTGTAGTACACTCGCAACAAAGATTTATGAGTGTTTTTGTTTGTTAATTTGCTTGTTTTTCCTGTCCAGAGATATAACGGAAATTAGCATGCCTAATTGTCCTCTTTAATAATAGAAGCAACATATGCAGTTTTTTTTACCTCAATCCCCCCCCCCCATTCGTGTTATTTAATTTTGCTTATGTTTTGATCTCATTATAAATAATTATGATAGAATTCAAAGGCTTTTTATTACAATGCCAACGGCTATAGGATTACCTCTCCCCAGGTAGTCAAATTGAGCAGCACCGCGGTAGTCGAGGCCCTCCTGGATGCCGAGGCTGACCCCAACCTCCGCGACCCGGTCCTCGGCCTCACGGTCACCCACGATGCCGCCCGCGAAGGCTTCGCAGACACCGTCCGGGCGCTGCTGGCTCACGGAGCGGACGTGAACCTCGCGGACGAGCGTGGGAACCTCCCGCTGCATTTGGCCGCCAAGTGGGGCCGCGTTGAGGCGGTCCGGGTTCTCGTGGGAGCCACCGCGGACCCCCTGAAGGCAAATGTTGATGGGCACACCGCGGAGCAATTGGCGCTTCTCAGCGGTTACGATGACACGGCCGCCTGCATCCGCAGCTACCTTCGCTAAGGTGAGAACACTGATTTTAATAGACACTTGTCTAAAAATATCACAATGAAAATGTTATTCTAAAAAATCATTTCACGAAACAAAAACAACAGCGACTAAATCATACTTCCATTTAATTCCTCCAAGCTAATTTATAATTTTGGTTTGAGTCCTATCTTTAATATTCGCTCATATCAAAACATAACCTGCTCACTTGCCTTAGCTACTACCGTTATCAAGGCACAAGAACATTTAATTCTTGCAAAGTTGTTTCATTAAACCAAACACAAAATTTATGCTTCCGAAAAATCTTTTTTTTTCTGTTTGCTGTACCCTCGATATAATCTGGTACGTACCTATCATTACCTTGAGATGTGATTTCATTCAACTAAAATAAAAAGCCAATTTATGAAGCAAATTAGTATCAGCAATAATATTCAATCATGTAAACAACATAATCTTCCATCTCCTGTTACCATTAACTGTATCTAAATTATAGATACATTAGGAACATCTATTTCAATCTCTTCAGTCATTTCGTCAAAGGAAAAAACATAAAATTCATACTCAGAGTCAATTTTATCAAGTCATGTTTAGTATTAGTTGTAGTTTTATTATTCAGTAATGTCAACAACATAATCCGCTAACTACATACCTGTAGACTAGATACATGTCTAAAATATTAAGACAAGGAACATTTAGTTCTCTAAAGTCATTTAATTCAAGCAAAATACATACTTGAAGTCAATTTTATCAACATAATTTTGCTGTAAGTCGTAATTTTAATATTGCTAATGTCAACAACATAGTCTGTTTATTACATTAGTTTTAGCGCTGTATCATAATCTGTAGATCTAAAATATAGACACAAGGAACATTTAGTTCTCAGAGGACATTTCATTAAAGCAATTAAACCATAAAAACAATACTTTAATTCAATTTGATCAAGATAATTTTTGATATTAGAACCCTGGAGAACCCACGGGGTCAAATTTGGCCCCTATAAATTCTGCTACTCAAATGCTACCCTTAAATCCCAAAGGGTCAAATTTGGCCCTAATCCTAAATTAGGATTAACGCATTGAATATTTGAATAAACATATATTTTGGTGTTCAGTGAACATATAGCAGTCATTTAATGTATAATTCATCATTTTCCAAAGAAGAAAAGGGTTCTTGGGTTCTCCAGGGTTAGTCATAGTTTTATTATTCACTCATGTCAATGACATCGTCCGCAAACTACATTAGCATTAGCTGTAGACTAGATACTTGTCTGAAATATTGAGACAAGGAACATCTCGTTCTCTAAAGTCATGCCATTTAAGCAAAAGACATTAAAAAACATACTTGAAATCATTTTATCAATATAATTTTGGTATAAGACGTAATTTTAATATTCACTAATGTCAACGACACCGTCTGCTAGCTACTGTTACCATTTTCTATAGCCGTATCGTTGCCTGCAGTTCATTTATTGCTGAATAAAAACAAACATTGACACTTGTTCAAAATACAGGCATTATGATTCAAGTTTTTCAAGCATGTCTTGATTCACATTGCTGTGAAAGTTAGCAGTTTACCATGGCAACTCTGAATTCTTGGACTCAATAATTGCCATGCAACTGGGTGATCTATTTTTTTTCTGTCTTACTTCTATGTGCCAAAACAACATCAAAGTCAATTCATGTTTTTCGTACTCTCTTATTTGGAGCTGAGAACATCAGTGGAGTTCTGACATAGTCCCGCTCAGGATCTGAGGTGGAACCGACGGTAGAAACTGACAAGAAACTAAGACTGGTTTAATATTTAATTAGTCTAAAATCAATAAACCCAAGACTAGAGAAATGAGCCATACTTACAGGAGAAGGACATGAAAGGATGAGAGCTTCACAAAGAAACCATAGTGCCAAGTCGACTGGTGAAATCACACTGGTGGAATGTCTAGGACAGCAGACACGGACACGCCTAGATTCCTCCGCAAGACATTCAGGAGGTCAGACACAAGGAGATTATCTGGGCATTGTGCCATGGGAGAGAGGCCTGGGGGTGGTTGGTGCTCACCTGGGACATGGGCATAGCATGGGAATTCCAGCACACGTGCAAAAGTATAGCAAGCTCAGGCAGGAGTAGCAAAAAAGGTTTCGTCAAAAAAAAAAAAAATGGGGAAAACCCAGGGGAGGCAGGAAAAAGCATAGCATTCAGGGAGCTATGAAGTCATGGTTTGGAAAAAATATCATTGGAATTCTGTTAAGTATCTTTTTATTTATTGTTATACATATTGCAATTTAAACCTGACTCTTCTTTGTGGAATTGGTGTGTAAATATCCAGTTTGTTGTCAGGACTGACAAGAGTGAAATGGTCTCCTCCTAGTTTACTGCAGTCGTCAGCCATCTTTGTTCGACTGGAATGTTTTGCAGTCTTTGTAAAGTCCTACTGAAATATTTCCTATTTCCTAGCATATAATGCAGCATATTTTCCAAGATTAGGGGGCAGCTGGGCGGAGCATGAGGAAAGCAGAAGAGCTGATTGGCTGGGACAAAAGCTGATGAAACCAGGTCAAAGTCTCGATAGAGCATAAAACGACTCTAACCAGGTGTAACCAAGCACAAAACAAACATTTTAAACATTTCTTATCATTAATGATCACAAATGGACATGGACAAAGAACTTTTTTTTAAAGTGTGTCAGTTATTGTGAGACAGCAACCACAATGAAACTGAAAGTGAACTCTCTTTTCAACTCTCATATCCTCTGTTGTGCTTGTGCAATTCATTTTCCTCTGACATTCACTTCAATAAAGCTCCTTCCTTTTCCCTCACAGAGTTAATAAAGTAGATATTACCTGCTGTACAGAGAATGTCCGAGCGACAGAAGAGACCAAATTGCAGCTTTTTGGCATGAACATCATTTCTATGATTACAGATGCAAAAATGAAGCATACCAAGAAAAGAACACTGTCCCTCTGTTATGTTCTGGGTGTGCTTTGCTACAACTAGCACTGGGTGTCTTGAATCAGTGCAGTGTACAATGAAATCTCAAGAGTATCAAGGTAATGGAGAGAGAAATATGCTACCCATTGTCATGATTCTGTTATGGATCTTGTATAAGGATAATGACCGCTTGTCCGCTTATCATCATGAGGGTCACGAGTGTGCTGGAGTCTATCCCAGCTGTCTTCAAGCAGTAGGCGGCTTACACCCTGAACTGGTTGGCAGCCAATCGCAGGGCACGTATAGACAAACAACCATCCGCGCTCACACTCACACCTCGGGACAAGTTAGAGTGTTTAATCAACCTACCCTGCCTGTGTTTTTGGAATATGTGAGGTGGAATATGCGAGGAAACCGGAGTACCCGGAGAAAACCCACACAGCCACAGGAAGAACATGTAAACTCCACACAGGAAGGCCAGGGCCGGAATCGAACTTATGACCTCTGCCTTCACTGCGAGGCGGACGTGCTAACCAGTCGATCACTGTGCTGCCATGACCCAAACCTAACATTTAAAAACACCCAAATATGGCAAAGAGCAAAACACTGAACTATTCTGAAGTGGCCTATGACCCCTGATCTAAAGTCTACTGGAAGGAGCGGAAACATGCCGTCTAGAAAAAGCACCCTTCAAACTTGAGACAACTGGAGCAGTTTGCACATGAAGAGGGGTCCAAAATACCTGTTACAAATTTGTTTGGTTGCAATGGTTGCCTCAAAAGGTTGCGCAATAAAATATTAAGGGTGCCATCATTGTTTTTCTCATTCAGACCTGTTTCAGGAATTAAAAAAATAATAATTCCGTTGAACCACAATTCAAAAGCAATGTGTTTGATTTTCATTACATTTCTATGTGCTTTTGTCAGATAACTTTTATTTTTGTGACCAATGGTTTTCCTTTCATTAACAGAGGGCTCCCAACAATTTTGTCCGTGTGTCTTATTTTATTCCTATTAAATTAATTCATTTTAACGCAATGTCTAACAGTCTTCAGACACTTAATCAAGATCAAATATCATAAAAATCGCTTCAACTCAAAATTTGGCATTGGAATAATACGCGTTTGAATTTTTAAGTCTGTCTTTGCGGCCTGTCAGGGTTATCACTTAGACATTAATTTTTAGGAGTATGGACGGACATACTTTGCGATACGTGCATCGGAGTTGATCGAAGGTGGGCGTGATCTTTAAAGAAATTCACTTAGCGCTCCACCACCAAATCCAGGTTTGCGCTATCCAAGGCCTAAAATCGCCCACCTGGTAGCGCCCCGCATATGCGCGTCTTGGACCTTCCTGGGTGGCTGTTTTTCGCCGATGAGTGAAAAACTGGCGGTGAGCTCAACACTTTTCACGCTATTTGTGTCACGTTAGTATGATTTCATCAAAATAGTCTGGAAAATTCGGTAACTGCTCAGACGTTTCATTTAGTAGACGCGCACGCCCGGGCCGCTCAGCGCACGCCTGCTGAATTTTACATGTACGCACATTTACAATGGATACACATGATTTTGTATCGTAGATTATTTGTGATTTTAAAACGTAGTTTGAAAGGGCAGAACTGGTGTATTAAAAAAAGCATGTTCTTTGTGGAAGTGTACCGCGAGTAGAATAGTTCATAATTGAGTTGCGTTGAACAGAATAGAATGGCCAGCGAGCATTTAAAAAAAATATATAACTTTACGGCTAAAACGTGTATTTTCATGAAATGCCGATTCAAAGGTTACATTCATGACGACACACAACTTCGGACCAAAGTTGCTCCCAGTCAGGCCTCCCCCAATACTTTATTTACCAAAGTGCGTTTAAAGGCCCGTTAGTTGCGGCCAGAATACACATTTTGTATAAATATCTATAAGTGAGCCATTGTCGTTGTGAATCACTTTGAAACTCGTAAAATTGTTTCCAATTCACTCACGCGCTCCTTCCATTTTGACATGCAATCCAGAAAAAATTTAGTTTTGTTCAATGTTTATAAGAAGTATTTTAGTCGGGAGTCGCTGGTGGTGTAGCGGTACGTTGACTGATTTGCGTGCGGGGAGCGTGGGATCAGTTCCAACCCAGTAGCGGTGTGGATATGGGTGTGATTGGTTGTTTGTCCCTGTATGTTCCCTGCTACTGACGAGCGACCAGTTCAGGGTTGTAGTCTGCCTTCCGCCCGAAGTCAGCTGGCAACAACCCGGAACCCCGTTCCGGATAAGCGGTGTTGAAAAATGGACAGATAAACGTATTTTAATCTAAATAGTTGCGTATAAGTGTGGCCCTCATCAAATACGGTACAGCTGGTTACATTTATCCCTGCGCGTGTCATTCTCTCGCTCTCACGGCTATTGACATCGCACTGTAGCTTTTCGTTTCATGTTCATTTAGCAACGCGAAAGTGACTTATGTCAGGTTTTATGTTTGTTTTTGGCATTTATTTAAGACTAATGTAACGCTTTGATTGGTTTTCCACCAAGACTTTTGACCTTGACTTGTCAAATGAGGTCAATTTAAGACGTTTTAGTTGTATATCCTGCTTAAACACTCACAGAAGTGTTTGACGGATGTTTTTTTTTTACGGGGTACAAAAGTGAAAAGGTCCAAGTGTCAACTTAATTCAGGCGTGGACTCATTGAAGTCCGCAGAGTGGAGGCCAAGCAAAGGCTCGGTGTGGACAGAGTGGAAGCAGGGAGGCCTAAAAACAGGGGGAGGGGTTTGTGACGTGGCTTCTCACGCTTGGATTGGCTGAAAGAGATGACGTAGTTCACGTGGAGCGAGGCCAGCGTTAAGTCGGTGGGTCAAGTTGTATTCTGGCAAAACTCCACCGCAGTACACGGACGCGAATGATGGGCGCTTCAATTGCTCATTTATTTGCACAAATGTTTAATTCCCGTGAACTCACCCAGTTTTTCTTCATCTTTCACACAGCCTAGGAGACTTGATGAAGATCTGGCTTGGATGCGCGCTTCTATTCTGCTTGTTTTTGCTCAACTGACACGAAAACATTTGCAATGTTGTTAAAATTCCCATCAAGTTGTTTTGATAAAGGTAAGAATAAAAATGACAGTGTTAAACAATGTCATTGTTTCAAATGGTTTTATTTTGATTGTGCCGTTACAATTACAGAGGAACGTCCACAGTTGGTTGACTTGCAAGTTGTTCGATTTTTAAACAGTTTTCCCCCCGCTCAGTCATGTCATTAAGCTGGTTTGCACTCACGCGGTGTAAGAAGACGCGCTTAAATATGCCACCGTACTTAATGTTTCTCATTTTATGCGACGCTTCTGTGGTGGCATGACACAACCAACCCACCGACACACAAGACAAAGCAAAAGACGCAAAAAAAAACCCAACATTGAGGCTACGCTACTCACTGCGAGTACTCTGATCTAAGTGTGGATGGATGTCCTCCGTGAAGCTTGCGCTCCCGTTTCTGTCCTCCCGTCCAGTTACTGTAAAATACTTCAAGCATTCCGGTTAAATTTGCTGCTGAGTGCGGAGAGACAAACCACAGGTGACGCAGATAAGAAAATAAGCATAAACATGTAATGCAAGTCATAAGCATATTGACAGAAACAGACCCGGAGGTTAGCTCATTGATACTGTTTATTCAGGTGATAAAATCTGGGGTAAAGAAATAAGACTTTGTGCATTGTTAGTGTTAAAACTAAAGCCGATTTTGAAAAATGAATTATACCCCCCCCCTTCAATATTGGGATTTAATATGGCCTTTTCGCATGCATGTATGTTTTAACAAACAACTGATTTGTATCGCAATGAACAATATCCGATTCATTTTAAATACATGTTTGGGATTACAGTATAGGTTAGGTTTATCCGAAAATAAAAGCAAATGAACCATGAATATCTACGAAAGACATTTTTAATCTACTTTAGTTCAGATTATTAATGTTTGAATTGCCGCCTTTTAAGCGTCCACGACGACGACTTCACAAAATTAAATCAGTCAACATATCGGTCAGTAAATCTTAATTAAAATTACGACAATTATGCAAACCCAATGGGTTTAACAATTCAATTTTTCATGTGGCAAACATGTGGACTGCACTCCTTCAGCATGGAATTATTGAGACGCCATATAAATATATTTAGAAAATGTGCATGTACCCACATATAAAAAAATGAAGCCGATCGACCCAATGAAATGAATCAGTTTTTTTTACCCCCAAATTGCAGCCACAGCAGTTTGAAAATTGTGTTCCACTTCAATGCGACGCCAATTTGAATTCAACTTATCGTTCAGTCACAGCTAAAACTCACTAACTCATATAAATTTGAACTTTTCCAACTGCCATTTGTCCTTTTGATGGCTTTGTACTTTTGTGTTGGGCCACCTCAAGACCAGGTTATCGATACCAGGCTGAAATCATCTTATTTTAAGGTATCTGGTACTCATGAAGGCATCCGAGATCAGACAGTGGCTTGCCCATCGACGGTGTTTTGTATTGTGTGTTAGCATTAAGCTAGCATACCTTTCTAAGTAAATCTGTGTAGTTTGGTGAAATGGACCAACTGTAACTCTCTTTGTTTGAAGTTTTCCTGTCAATTTAAACTGGGAATGATAATAAACAGCTTGAAGCCAACAATCGCGCTCTTTTTTGAAGAATTGTCATCCAACTACAAAGTTGCTGTTGTTATCAAGTTCGCTGCCAACATCCAGCATTCATAACTAAACTCAAGGGGGGAGAACAGAAAACACTGTCCACAACCTGCTCCTATTTCAGGTCAGAAGTGAGTCGGATCATACATAACCTGAGGTGCAATGGGGCAACCATTTACAGAGGAATTCTAGAAGATGCTGACATGACATTTATGTAAAGAAAACACTTGCCAACCTGATTAAAATTGGAACTTCTCATTACAACTGCACAAAAAGAAGAGTTACACTCACTTTGGGAGATTTGTTTCTTGACGTATCACATGGAAGGCTTGGAAGTTTTGTCGGCGTCTACTCTTCAATGAACCAACAGAATCAGACTGGTCGGATCATATCACAGTGCTCAGAGTTGTGCTCACCTGCTCCTGATTATGCCTTCCTCGCTTGCGTTATCCCTGATATGTAAATACATATACATAAATACATAACCTCATGTCGCAATCTGTCTTGTCACCAGTTTGTAGTACGTTCTCGTCTCTTGACACATTGTAAGCTTCCACCCCTTTTAAATACACGGGTCAACACAATTTTACAGAAATGTTTTAACCCTTTCATTCACCCTGTATCCTGATAGCATAATAAACTGTCCACTGTAGTAACCGCTGTCCCTGAAAGGGTTATTCAGAGATGCAAGCAAACTTTTCCAAATAATATATTTTTTTGCAGATTCTGCATCTGTGCTAGTTTTTACTCTAGCGCATTGGGATTTCATAATAACAATAATATGTAAAATATGTGGGAATATTTATGAATTACGGTTTTTATTTCTAAAAATTACAATGTTTGGTAAAATCCGTATTGCGCAAGCTTTTATAGGTCAAACTCACCAATGCGATGTGCAAGGGGAAAAAAGTAAAGAAAGCAACATCAAAAATACTTTCAGGGATACATAAAGCCATCTCTGATTAAAATGTGCCGTTGACCAGTATGATTTACCTTGTTTCTTTTTGTTTTTTGCCTCACATTTTTGGATACAGCTGCCAAAGCCGAATGCCGATCATTTTGCCTCAGTCTTATTATGTCCTCCTCCTCAAACAGTCCATGACACAAGTAACAATTGATTTCTGAAAATCGGCAAACTCTTTTGCGTGGAAAATGAATACATAACATTTTAGGGGGAAAAATGCTAAATGAATACAACAAATATGACAATGCTTGGTGGGCCACATTGATAGAGAGAGAAGCCAGCCAGCCATAAGTGAATACACACTACGCCCACGTTTGACATGGAGCGTTCTGAATCACATCTTCACTAACGTTTAACTTGTTTGAGCTATCGCAAGTGGTGATAGTAATACGACACCACTGGTTCCCCTAAGCAGTCATACAGTTCTACAATAAGAAACACTATCAAGTCACAATGACTCAGAGTCCCCATTCAAAATTGGAAACACAATTTGGCTTGGTCTTTCTCATCATGCAAAAATACTATTCACCTCTTCGCTTCAACACACTAGCTAGCTTCAGGCATTGATGAAGGAAATGAAAAAAGAAGTAGCTTGTGTTCAGTTGCAGTGTCTATTTATTTGTCTCCTGTAGCACTCTGCATATTCATGTGTATGCTCACAAACAAGGAAATATCTAACAAGGATCCTTACACAAACATCATAAAACACACATAACCCATTCACATGAGCAAACAGATGGGACATTTTGGTTCTTACAAAAAATCCACCCACAATCAACACGTTGTGCCAGTAAGCTCGGCCTTCTTAAATAAATAAATGGGAGAATGCCTGGCCGGCCCGAGTGAGGCAACTTCATGTACAGCTGTTGCATTGTCAGTGAATATCCGGCCAACACAGTGCGCGCCCATGAGTCATTTTATGGAAATAAATAAGAGCGGAGCGGCTCAACTAAGGTAGTCTTTAAATGAGCTGCAATTGTTCAAATAGTTTGAGAATTATTGGGTGCGGATTGCAATTTTAGTGTTACATGGCAGATTATATAGTACTGTGCAAAAAGCTGTTTGTGGTTTTTGTAATCCGTTCATGACCGCATACGGTTTAACATTTTAGAGACTTATTTTTGTGTGTGGTGTATTGTTAGTCTCCTTTTCCACTGCACGGCATCTACTCAGCTAGGCGTTGGCAAAAGCAGACACTAACTGGAGTCTAGCTAATCCCCCGTTCGCAGCGGGACGAGGACTGAGGCCTGCAACAAGAGCGAAAATTATCGCAAGAGCGAAAATTATCGAGTAATTGATGCCCTTTAAAAAGGTTTTTAATTCCCTATCATTGCCACAAGATGGGAGCAAAGCGTCACTTATTGTAAGTCAAAATAAAACTCCTCAACTCATTTCAACATAATTCCTTGACAAACATGCCACCAGATTTTTAAGTTTTTAAGCGAATATTGGTGGATGGGTTAAAAGAAATCCTCTGTGTGAACAGGCAAATTAATGAATGTTAAAATATAAAAAGCATTCACTATACCTGGTGAGGACCAATGGGTAAATATCTGGTCGCAGCTAAAAAACAAAAAACCCTGTTTTTGTCCCTTAGTTTTAGACACCGCTCACAGTTTGCAGCAGTGATCAACGTTCTTAGTGCCCGCAGTGTCCTTGTGAATAAAATGTCCCTTTTGCTTCTAAGTACGCAAGATCCTTGTTCTCTTCCAATTTTCTTTTTTCATTTTTAGCTTTTCTCATTCTGACTGCTGTGTGTGGGTTCAAGTGGCGTGGTTTTGTCAGTTTCCTGCTGCGCCATGCAGAAGCGGGAAACTAACTTCCCCAAACTAAAGCGAGCCACACACTGACTGAAGTGGTGGTAACAATTTCCTGCAATGCGTTTGGACAGTACAGTGTCTGCACCAAACCTTTTCGACTTTTCATGGTCCAGTTTTGTCTCTTTTGGCTAATACTGTACCTGTCCATTCCATTAAAATGATGAAGCTAATGTGCACAGTACTGTATTTGTATTTGCACGTCCAGTGCTTGATGACATCCAGGCTCGGACCTGAACATCACTTACAGTTCCACAATTATTGGCACTCCCGATTAAGATGTGTTAAAAGCCATAAAATAAATTTTTTTTTTAATTGCAGAAGCATACGCTCTTCCTAAAAAAATATAGAAATGGTTCACCACACACCAAATCATTCCCCAGACCTCAACCCGATTGAGAGGGCTAAAGAGTAGAGTGGAGAGGACGGGACCCCCATTGCTGAATGATTTATAGAAACTGTGCAAAGAAGATTGCAGAAACATTACAGGAGAAGATTCAATGCTGCTTGGTTGGCAAAACAGGGTTGTATTAACATCAGGAGTGCAACTAAATTTGGCACACGAGTTGATGTAAAAAATTATTCGTTAATGTCGGATTTATTTCCCACGCTGAAATAATGCTCTTGAATTAAAGGTTGGTTTTCATCTTGTTCTTATTTCAATTTTGTCCCGTATTTTTTATTTACTTTTTGGTAACTTAATTCATTAAAAGCTAAAGAACACATCGTAACCAGGTGTACCGTAAATTATGGAGGGCAGCGTACGTACCAAAGTGACCGAAATTCAAGCGAAATGCTCTTAGAAGAAATCTTGGTTGTGTTTTCAACAATTTGACGCAACGTTGGCTCTCCCGGCTTTTCTAGCCTCTTTCCCGTTTACACATTTGAACAACCCAAGGCCATGATACTCCATCCCAGCAATTGAAAACACCCGA